TTTATTAAGGGCTCTTATTGCCTTAACAATCCATACATCAATTGTATCAAGCACATTTGTACATATGTTGTCATCATTATTTTTAAAACATTTACATTCTATTGAGCCCTTGGTATCAGCCCCACCCCCCATGACCCCTTGATAGATTATCAATTATTATTTTCATATCTCACACTGCTGTCTCCTTTCCCCCATGTTTTCTGTTCTTCCTCCTGTATGGTTATGTGTAGACCATTGTGATCTGTTCCCCCTTTCTCCTCCCATCATCTCACCTTCTTCCCCGTACCCTTCTCGTATTGCTATTCCTACCCCTGCTCCTGGATTCCTGAGCCCCCATCTCTAATCTATATCTGTATACATGCTCCAGTCTAGTCTGAATTGAGAAGCAGCACTGGGGTCATGATGGTGGGGCCGAGGGAGCCTCAAGGAACCAGAGGAATATTGTGTGTTTCATCGATGCTTTACTGCACCGTGGTTGACTCCTCTCTTCCCTGTGGCCCCTCATGGGGGGATTGTTTGATTGTCTCTAGATGGGCTTTGGATCTCTGCTCCAATCCCCCTTGTTCTCAACAATAGGGTTTTTGTTTGTTTATGTGTCTTCTGATACTTATTACTTGGTCCCGATGACTCCTCATGATCATACAGACCTTGGACTTCTTCCATGTGGACTTGTTGCTTCTCTGCTGAATGGCTGCTTGTTTAACTTCAAAGCCTTTAAGGCGCCAGATGCTAAATGCTTTAATAGCTGGGCATCATCTGCCTTCTTTACCACATTTGCTTATGGACCCATCTTCAGTGATTGTGTCCGGAGGGTAAGCAACTCAGAATGCTGATTTGTGAGAACAAAGTGTTCTGTGTTGAGGGAGGGAATGATCAGAGGCCCGAAGTCTGTCCACTACCTCAGTGTATTGCTGTATAAATATATGTACATAGGCCAATACTTCTATTTTTGTGGATTAATGTATTTACATATGTACACACCTATGCTTATGCCTCTATCCTAAGTCCTTCCTGTTTCCTTTTACCTTTCTCCTGCCCCACCATCACTTTCCCCCTATTTCTGCCTCTTAGTGCTAGTTTGCTGTTGCTTTGATGCCCCTAGGAGCTCTATCTCCTTGTTGTTTAATTCCCTAGTTGTTCCCCTGTCTGTGGCGCTGCCTGCTCACTTGCACCCTTACTCCGCCACTCTCTCCCCCCAAGTACCCCCTGGGACCATCAGTCCTACTGCTTTCTCCTTGGGCTTGCTTCCCATGCCTATCTTATATAAGTAGGTAAACCGACTATGACATAAACCAAACAAAAAGAAAAGGAGAAGAAAAAGGGGGGTATACATAATTCCAAGTCTGTTGGCTGATCTTCATGACTATATCCCCACTGGTCATGGGGGGACACTGGGTCAATGTGGGCTTTTTTGTTTGTTTTGTTTTTTGAGTTTATACTAGTAGGATGTTGTTGAGCTTTATTAGTTTCTATGCTTGTGTGTCAACATGTTTGAGAGGTTTTGGACATTATTGCTTCAGATATTTATTTTATGCTCCAGTCTCTTTCTCCTCACTTTCTAGGACTTCAGTGACTTGACTAAAGCACCAAACAACTCTTGTAGGACATTGGTAGGTATGGTGTATTGCTGTATAAATATATGTACATATATGTATATGTACATTTGTACATATGTACATATATTTATATTGTACATTGGTAGGTATGGTGCTTCCTTAAAAAGAAACAGACCCCATATGGTCTAGCAGCCCCACTAGTTGATATGTATCCTACCTATATAAGAGCTGTGACATGAATAGATGAATACACACCCATGCTGATGGCAGCACTATTTACAATAGCAAAATGATGGAAACAACCTAAATGTTTCCATCAGTGTGAATGGGCAAACAAACCAAAGTACATACATACCATGACCACTACGTAGGTTAAGCATTGGACTGCTAACTGCAAGTTCAGCAATTCAAATACCGGATGCTCAGAGAGAGAAAGAGGAGGCTATCTGCTCCGTCAAGATTTAGGCTCAGGCATCCAAATGAGTTATTAGGAACTGGAATCAACTCAATGGCAGTGAGTTTGGTGTTCGATTTTTAGCAATGGGTTAAGCGTTCCGATCGTTTCACACTCTGGCCAGCATTTTTTATGGTCTGTTTTAGTGCTGTTGTTGTGGTGAGATGATATTTCATTGTTTTGATTTGCATCTCAATGGCTAATTGATCATGAACATTTCTTCATTTATTTGTTGGCCACCTGAATGTACTCTTTGAAGTGTCTATTTGGATCTTTTGTCCATTTTAAACTGGATTGCTTGTCTTCTTGTTAAGGCGCTCTATACATTTTAGAGATTAGTCTCTTGTCTGATATGCTGTTGCCGATTATTTTTCCCCCAGTATGTGGGTTCTCTCTGTTACTCTTGATGAAATCCTTTGATGCCCATAAATACCTTAAACTTTAGAAGGTTGCAGAGTTGTCACAGCTCTGTGGGAATGGCAGTGTTTCCTCTGTGTGAGTTGGAATCAGCTCAGTAGCACCTAACAACAAGCCAGTTGATCTTCAGTTGTGTTTGATAGTGCATTTATGACCTCTTATCCACTCCTATCAAACTGAGAGGGGAGCAGACAGCTCCCTTTTACTCCTACAGCCTGGCTGGTAGGTTTGAACTGCCAACTGTAAGGGTCAAAGCCTAACCTGTAGCAGCACTCAAACCAAAAGGGAAACTCACTGCCATCAAGTTGTTTTTGACGTATAGGGAGGGACCCTCTAGGACAGAGCAGAGCCTCCCTGATGGGTTTTTGAGGCCAAAAATATCTGTAGGAACAGAAAGCTTCGTTTTTTCTGAAGACCAGCTGATAAGATTCAACCTGCTGACCTTGTGCTTAGCAGTCCAACTTATAAACTACTGTCACCCCCCAAAATAACCAAACTCACTGCCACCAAGTCTATGTCAATTTATAATGACCCTGCAGGACAGGGTAGAACTGACCCTCTGAGTTTCCAAGGATGTAACTCTTTACTGGAAGAGAAAGCGGTATCTTCTCCCTAGTAGAGGCTTGTGACTTCAGTGAGCAATCCAATGCATAATCACTATGCCAGAACTCCTCACCAGGGCCTCCTGTGTTGCTTCTAGTGCCCTTAAATTTGTCCCTATTTTTTATAGGCTCTGTAGTTTTACATTTCGATCTTTATTGTTTTGTATATTATGAGCTATTGGTCCAATTGTATTCTGATGCAAATGAATATTCCGTTTTTTAGCCCCCTTTGTTAGAAACTATCTCTTCCCTGTATGATGATGTTTCAGTCCTTTGTAAAACATAGCTGTCCATTAGCGGATGCATTTATTTTCAGGTCCTCGATTTTGCTCTGTTGATCTGTGTGTTTGCTGTTGTGCCAGTACACTAGAGTGTTTTGATTACCATGACTGTAGTAGGTTTTGAGACCAGTACGTTTGAGGCCTCCTACTTTGTTCTTCTTTAGTAATGCTTTGCTTACCCAAGGTCGCTTTCTTTTCTTTATAAAGTTGATGGTTGGGTTTTCCATTTCTTTAAAAAATGATCATAGAATCTGGATCAGAACACATTATATCTGTACATTGCCTTGAGTAGTTGACATGCTCACATTGGTAGGTCTTTCTATGAACGTGGGAAATTCTTCCTTTTATGTAGATCTCCTGGTTTCTGGTAGCAGTGCTTTGTTTTCTTTATGGAGGTCTTTTGTTTCTCTGGTTAGATTTATTCCAAAGTATTTAATGTTTGGGGTGGCTATTTTCAATGGTGGTGTTCTAATCTCCTTTTCAGAATATTCGTTGTTAAAGGAACCCAAGTGATTTTTGTGTAGAGAACCTTAAATGCCACTTTGGTAAATCTTTCCTTTATTGTTGATGTTAGGTGCCGTCAAGTCAGTTCTGACCCATAACAGTCCTATGCACAACAGAATGCAATACTGCCTGGTCCCGTGCCATCATCACAGTTATGGTATTCTTAGCGTTTGAACCCATCATTGTAGCCGCTGTCACAATCTATCTCTTCAAGGACCTCCTTCTTTTTCACTGCCCTGCTACTTTAGCCAAGCATGATGCCCTTCTACAGAGGCCAGTCTCCAAAGTGTGTGAGACTCACTCTTGCCATCCTTGCCTCAAAGGAGCACTCTGGCTGTACTTATCTTCCAAGATAGTTTTGTTTGTTCTCTTACCCTCTGTGGTACTTTTAATATTCTTCGCTGCCACCATAATTCAGATGCATCAATTTTTCTTCCATCTGCCGTATTCAATGTCTAACTTTAACATGCCTATGAGACAATTGAAAATACCGTTAGGGATCCCGCTATAAATGGAGCCCTATTTGATTTACATGGCTATACTGCAAATCGCTCAAAAGGAGCCCTCAGCAGTTTACTGTAACCCACCAGGCACTCTGCAGGAGGAAGATTTAAGTCACTCTGTTTCCATCAAGATTTAAATCTTGGAAGAGCTATGGAATGGGTTTTTAATCTGTGTGATAGGGTCTCTATGAGTCAGAGTCTACTCAACTGTGGTGAGTTTGGTTTTTAGTGGTGTTCCTCAATGTAGTCTTTACATGAAGTTCTCGGCTTTACCTTCTCTTCTCAGTACACTCATTCATCTACCATTATTCTTGCCATATTGCCCCATTGAATGCTGTTTCATCAACTGTGTTGATCCTGAATGGCTTAAGCTCCTCAACAACACAACTGTTTTAATAACCTTCCTTCCCTCAGAACCCTAGTCAAAATTTCATTTTCCTAAGCTTTGATTGTATTTAGGTGTGTACCATGAAGTCTTTGTTACGTGTCCTTTCGGGAACACTTGTGTGCTTCTTACTAACAAGGCATAGGAAAGACCTGATTACCCTCTGGAATGATTAGCTTGTCTTACTATGGCTTTTACTGTGTAAACTAATTGTTAAAATTCAGAGTATTTTTTAAATTGGTTTTATTAAAAGTAGGCAAGCATAACAGTTCTTTACTATATTTCACCCTACAGGAAACCCTTTTCCAAGGAGAAATGAAGAAGAAAATGATTTTTACCTTAAATGTGGGTGATCAGGAATATGAAGACATGGAAGGTACCATTTTATTTTTATAAAAATTGCATGTTGAAAATAAATCTTGATATTTCCAAACTGTTCATTTGTATTCCAAAATAGTTTATTATTCTTAAGTTCTGAAATATGTAAGCCCAATAACCAAATGTATTACCACATTGTCCATAGGGTTTCCAAGGCTGGTTATCTTTTTGAAGCTAACTGCCACATCTCTCTCCCACTGCGTGGCTGGTGGGTTCAGACAGTCGATCTTTTGGTTGGCAACTGAGCACTTAAATGTCTGTGCCACCGGGATTGCTTCCTTAAATACGTAGCGTCTAGTTGGCTTTTTTCCCTTCCTTGCTCCCATGTCTTTCTTTAAATTGCTTGAAGTGTTTACTTTGTTGAACTGTTTTCTTTTTAATATTTGCTCTCTAATGATTTAGGAATACATACGGCTTTCTATTAGTTGGGGGGTGGGTGAAGGTGTTTTTAAAAACCGTTATCATTGACATTTTTTTCCTGCTTACTCAAAACCTAAAATTGATGCTAATCTTCACAGTCAGCAGTGGAAAAACTTGGTTGTTGTGTATTGTGCAGTTGATTCTGGCTCAGAAAACCCTGTAGTAAAGAATAGAACTGCTCTGTAGGGTTTTCTATATTGTAATCTTTAGAGGAGCAGATTGCCCGATCTTTCTCTCCTGAAGCCACTGGTGGGTTTGAACCTGACATTTGGGCTATTTAGCAGCCAGGCACTTAACCATTGTGCCACAAGAGCTCCTTAAAAGAACCGTAGAATCATTAGTTGTCCTACTCTTGACTTGTTTATAGGTTATGATTATCCACTACTTTGGTTCTCTCTTTTTTTTTTTTCATTTTCTTGTTAACATCACAAATTAGTTTTAGTTTTTTTTTTTTTAATACAGGTGTTTTTTAGGTTTCTTTTCAATTCCTTCTTATATTTCATCCCTTCTTTCTGGAGGAAATGGAGCCTTGGTGACCTATGAACTGCTAACTGCAAAGTCAGCAGTTCAAAGCCACTAGCTGCTCCTCGGGAGAAAGACGAGGCTTTCTAGGCCTGTAAAAAGTTAACATTCTTGGAAACCACACAGAGGTATTTTTGCCTTGGCCTGTAGGGTCACTATAAGTCAGAATTGACTCAATGGCTGTGGATTTGGTTTTCTTGGTCTTCCCCCATACCCCAAAGACCCACTCCACCAACCGGCAGGGTGTCATGTAGAGGGGCAGCGAAAAGGCGGAAGACCCTCAACAAAATGAATTGACACAGTGCTAGGAGCAATTGTGAGGATGGCGTAGAGACTAGACCTGCTTGCTTCTGTTGTGCGTAGGATTGTTGTAGGTCAGAAGGGATGCAACGGCACCTAACAGCAGGGCTGTTCGCTGTAAATTCTCTTACAGTTCATCTTTTCATTTTCGTCAAACTAAAAGATTATTTTAATGGTTGTGTAATTTTGGATAAATGGGATTTTTCTTAGTACTGAACCGTTTTCAGGTTTCTGTTATTGCTGTCAAGAAATTTCTTCTCAGTCTAATTGTTCTCCCTCTTCATTTTTAGAAGATCTTTTTTCATCTGTGATGTGTTACAGTTTTGCTACATTGTTACTAGGCATACATTATTTTTACTTCTTCTGTTTGGCATATATTGTGTCCTTTTATCTGTAGGTTCAAGATTTTTTTTTATTTCCTAGCCACTGCCTTTTTAAACGTTCCTCTCCTTTATTTTCTTCTGGACTCCAACTAGCAATGGAGACTTTGTTCTCGCTTCCCAACCACTCTCTTCCAGTTTATATCTCCTCTTACGCCTCTGTATACATAATTTCCTGAATTCTCTCTTCCAGTTAGCAAGCACCCTGTATACTCAAGTATAAGCCGACCCGAATATCAGCTGCTGCACCTAATTTTACCACAAAACTGCATTAAAAAGTGTGCTGGAAAACTTGGCTTATATACGGGAATGTTGGGATGTACTGATCGGCTTTATCTTTCTGTGTAATCTGAAAATTCTGTTACTTGAAACCAATGATGTTGAGATCTCCTGGTTTTGATGATTCTTACTCAGAATAGCTTATTTTTCTTGTTTGATAATGTTTGGTTATAAGTTCACGTTTAATTAAATTCAACTTGTGGCATCTTTAAGGCTTAAATTGAGGGTGCTTTTCTCTAGAAAAATTTGGCAACCGTAAAAGATTTCTGATTGTACAACCAAAATTAATTGAAAATCAATTAAGAATCGAAGGTATTTATAGCAATGTTTCCATAAGTTACCAATTTCTTAGTTGAAAAAGGCCAAGAGTAAAAAATCTTTTAAGAAGCTTTTCCTGGATCTTTGCTGGGACCACTTTAGCCCCATTTGAAGATTTTTTTCTTAATATTGGGATCAGATTCCAACCTATGAAGTTCCTAAGGCGTATTAGTCTCAGTACCTGTGTGTACAATCGCACTTAGAACAACCCCAGTTGTTATCTTTACTTTCTGTACACTATTCACATTTTATCTCATCATGTTTTTAAAATTATTTTTGTTTACTTTTTTTTGTTGAATCTGGAAGTTTCTCTTATGAACCAGCAATGCATTTTTATAAGCATTGTTTTATATGTTTGTTACTTTACTGATAGAAGTTTAAGTTACATAACCCTTTAGGATAGTGGTTCTCAATCTTCCTAATGCCGTGACCATTTCATACAGTTCTTCATGTGGTGGTGACCCCCCAACCACAAAATTATTTTTGTTGCTACTTCATAGCTGTCATTTTGCTACTGTTATGAATCAGACGACCCCTGTAAAAGGGTTGTTCGACCCCCAACGGGGTCGCGACCCACAGGTTGAGAACAGCTGCTTTTGGTAAATACTGTCTTTATATACATGCTGACCTTGTGATTCCATTCTTAGCAATTTATATTGATAAGCCCTTTTTTGGGGGTACACTTTTAAGATACAAAGTGACAATGTTATTTATTGAAATATGGTTACACAGTGAATATACACTGATAGTGTGCATAGTGTTTTTAGCACAGGTGTGAAAAGGCAGCTTTGGAAGAATTTGTACAAGGATTTGCTTTTCTGTACATCTAAAAATACCTCTGGAAAAGCAGAAAGAAACTAACAGTTGTTGTATGGAGTGGAACTAGAGAGAGGGAATAGATGTTAAAGGGATGTTTTTTACCTTTTGCTTTTTAAACTATGCAAATAATCCTTATTATAAAAATTTTTTTCACTCGTCTCATTAAAATAATTTAAGATAGTCAATGTGGAAAGGATTAAGTGGAGGAATTATATATATTAAAATTTATCATTTTGTCATATTACTACTGCCAAAGTAAATCTGAGATGTGCAAACCTCATAGATAAGCAGATGGAGTTTGGGCTCCTACCTAATTCTAGCTCTAGCTCAAGAACACAAAGTTCTGAGAACATGGCCCTGTCGGATACTCACTTTTGTGAAAGAATCACTGAGGATAAGGTGCTACAGCAAAGCGTGGTGAAGAAAGTAGATGGTGCCTGGCTATCAATTGGATTAGTGTCTGGGGTCTGAATGGTTTGTATTCAAACAAGCAGCCATCTAAGCGAGGAGTCAACTAAGCCCACACAGAAGAAGCCCACCAGCTTGTGTGATCCAAAGGTGACAATTAAAATGTTTGAATATAGTGAAAAGTATCAGGGCTAAAATTATGAACACACAATTTGTAGAAGGCTACAGAGGACAGTGGGAGCCCAAAACCCAACTGCAGAGTACCTGGTCAGACTGAGCTGCTGGCAGATCCGCCCTAGCTGCAGGCAAGAGTCTTGCTGTTGGGCGGAGAGCACTGTAACCTTGAATATCCTGAATGGAACTGATGCTTGGCCTGATGGCCTCCCTGCAGACTCAACCTGAGTTGGTTCTGTGTGCAAGTATCTCTTTTCTTGTTCCATGACAGAAATTTCTTCTCTGGCTTTTGGAATGTTGAGTGTCTTTTCTTTCTTATTCATTATTTGTATGTCGGTTTTTATGTTATTACTATTTTATCCTTACCACCATATTTCTAATTTGGTTTTTATTGTCTCTGTTGGGTTTCCCAGTTTGTGACCCACAGGAAGAGTGGATGCATAGTGATAATAACAGATTCAGGGGTTGATAGGGGATGCAGGGGTGGGGAGTGAGTGATAGGGAGGGAGGGGGCTTGGGAGTGGGAAATGAAGACAGGAAGGAGTACTAGAACTGATTGATGGTACAAATCATTTTAAAGACAATAAAACCACAGAGAGGGGGATGTTCTAAAATTGATATGGTAATGATTGTACAATTCTCCTTGATATGATTGAGCCATTGAACTATATGCTATGTAAATTATGTGCCAATAAAACTGTTTAAGAAATAAATTAAAGTTCCATCCAAAAGCTAAAAGAAAAAAAAAATCATCCCAGTTTTAATTGCTTTGTAGATAGTAGCACTTTGGAGTATTTAGTTCACCATACTGCCAGAAACATAAGACATATCATTTTGGTTAATGACCTTTGGATTTGGCTGTTTTAACTTGCAGGTGAAGGAAGCAGAGATGATACTGCTACCACTGTTCTGTTGTACAGTGAAGCCGACAGATGTCCAATATGTCTTAATTGCCTATTAGAGAAGGAAGTTGGTTTTCCTGAAAATTGTAATCATGTCTTCTGCATGCCCTGTATTCTTAAATGGGCGGAGGTAAGTCTGAGAAGTACTAGCTACAATATTAGTGTGTCAGTGATTTTATGTGCATTTAATATTATATAGTCATGTTTTTCTTTATTTTCTGACATAAGTGATAAAGCATAGTATTTTGTTTCCCTGGCATGTTTTTATTACACTTAGTTTGAAACATTGATGTGACTTTCTATAAGCCATTTCACAGTAATGTTGTTCTCCCCTCTTTTGGCTAAATTTCCCAGTGCATCTTTCACATAACTATAAGCTTTATCAAAAGAATAAATCCCATAAATAGTTGTTAAGTAAGGTGCCACAGGAGCTGTAGTATATTTGCATTATTTGAAATACATGAGTATTGAATTATATTTTAAATACATCTGCTGTGTAATGTACAGTTGATCTGTTGTGTTTTGTTTATTAAAACTTTCTAAGTTTTTATTGTGTTTTATTCTCTCCTTTATTGAGGGATTGGCTTGTAAATTATTTTTGAGGGTACTGAGCCTTTTATTTCTCTATTTCATAGTGCCTAGACTAAAATAGATAAAATATACATGTAATAATAATTTCTTAAATATGTAATTGAATGGAAATATTATAGTTGCCCACCCATTAGTATAACACAACAAATTTAGAAGTTTATATATTGGAAATTCTATCTTTAATTTAGCCTAATTGACTTTTTAAATGAATGAACTTACTCTTCAGTAGTAACTCAGCATGCAAAAAAAACTGTTGGTAAAGGAAGTTTGTTTCTTGTGTAACAAAATACTAAACACAACTGCTGTTGGGCTGCCCTCACCTTTACCCGTTTTATTTTCCTTGTTTTTCCCAGACCTGATTTACATGCCAGGTAGTGTTTGTATAAAATAGTTAAAATTTCTTAATTTCTTTTTATACTGAATCATAAGTCCTTTCTCAAGTCACCAAACAGTATTCTTGACTAGCATTATTAGTGGTTTTATAATATTTCACCATGCTGAAACATTATGATTTATACATTATATCCAAAGTCTAGTTGAGAAGGTAATTATATGAGAAATTGTTTTAAGAAAGCATAGTCTATACTCCTAGATGTTACAGATTTCATTCCTTAAATCACATTATATAGTTTCTCCCACCAATAATAACTTTAGTTTACTCTCTAGTAATTTGCTCTGTATCTTATTGAGAATTATTGTAAGAAGTAAAACTATCAAAATAGCATTTATGTTACTGATATTTTAAAATGTGTACCCTTTAAAAAAATACTTTATGAAAGATATCTTTTAAAGTTAGTTTTAAGAATTAAAGTTCCAGTGGTCTCAATTAGATATGTGGATTGAGAGGTTTAAAATTTAATGTTTTATTTGCTTTTTTCACATTTATGTTTATTTGCTTTATTATGAGGAATGCATAAAACCTTACATGAGTGGGCTTCAAAAAGTTCATGGAAAATGGAATTAATAGCTGATGGAACTTCCCTGAGAATTTTTTGAAGCCTTCTCATACTTCTAGTGTAGGCAGTAACATAAACATGAATATGCCAACTGCAGTGGTCAACAAAGAAAACATTGCCAGTATTTGGAAACCCCTATGTGTGGGGTACCAGCCCCCACAATTGAATGGATCCCGGGGGGTGGTTGTGTAATTGAGTGGTAAAATTAAAGAGACTTCAGACAATATAAGGCATGCAATTGCTCACCTGCCGGACGCCCATGATCTCAGCAGCCAGGTCCATGCAGAGAGAGGGATGAGGGCCGGTATGTTTCCAATTGCGGCATATATACACTTTGGGGTATGTGCAAGACCCCTTGATTACATCATAACGGGAAGGGGTTGTACAATCGACGTATATCAGTCAGAGGGGGACAAGCTAGGGATATACATGCAATCGGAAGGGGAAGCCCTAAGGGTACACATGTGACAAGATGGGTGGACCCTAGATTCAAGATGGCAGCCTAATCTGGGTCCTCCTTGAGTTGGCTGGACCTTGTCTCTGGGCTCTTCTTCAGGGAAACAATCCACTACAGTATCCTTATCAGAAGGGAGTGGGCCCTACTTAGGGTGGGACAGACGATAGTGTCTGATTGCTCTAGATGGCTGATAACCCTCAGGGAGGTAACCTCTACGCAGCTTGTGTTGACCTCCAAGTGTACAGTCATTTACCATGTGTTGCATGCAGCGTCTTAGGTTTGGCATATATTTGGGGGGGCAACCTGGGGAAAAACCCTTCTGCATCCCACACCTATGTGCCCCCTTCACTAGTGTAAACATAAAACTTTTAATGTATGTTGTTACCTCCCCCTCACATTTTGTTTAATTTGCCCCTATTAATGCATTCCTAAATTTTATATTCTGTTTTCTCTGATTAACATTTTTATGCAAACAATAATACAATATACTCCTTTGTAAACTTTCATTAACCATATTTTGGAATTTTATTCATACTGATGTATGCTTTCATAAGAGTAGCACTTTTTCTTATTTTTCATGTATGTTCTTATGTTACCAGACCACAATTTATACATTATTTTGGATATTTTGGCTGTTTCTAGCTTTTCTACTCAACCCTGAAACTAAATCCACTGCCATTAAGTCAATTTCAGCTCATAGGGACATTATATAGAGTTTCCAAGAATGTAAATCTTTATGGGAGCAAACAGCCTTTCCTTCTCCCCAGGTGACTTGGTGGTTTTGAACTGCTGACCTCTCTGTTAATGGCCCAGTGCTTAACCCACAACTCCTCCAAGACACCAAACTTCTCTCTCTTTTTTAGACATTTTTGAATATTACTAAGTTGAAGGTACTTAATGAAATAGGTAAAAAATTAGCATCAACTCATTTCTTACACATATTTTTTTGTTTTGTTGAAACCAGATTGCTTTTTAAAAGTAAATATTTAACTGTTGTACTACCATTATAAATTGTGGTGTTTAACAAAGATAATTAACCTTGAAAATGGAGAATAAACAATATTCTGAATCATTTCATTGTCCGTAATAGGAATAGCAGCCAGTAGTTAAATAATTTTAGCTGAGCAGTAAGAAGAGCACAGTCTACTAGTAAAATTGTTATAAATTTTAAATGAATGTTGGATAACAAAATTAGTTGAGACTCTTAACTGAAATTTCAATTTGAATCTTTTATTTTATGTAAGCTCTTTGATAAATAGAATCATATTTCAGATCCACCAATTTTTTTTATAGTGAGTAGTTACTATATGATCTTCTTTCATTCTCTTTAACTCTCTTCTGCTTATAAAGAAAGTTACACGGTTTACTTTGGAGTTAGAAATACCGTGTATACTCGAGTATAAGCCAGCCCGAATATCAGCCGAGGTACCTGATTTTACAAAACTGCATTAAAAATGTGCTGAAAAACTCGGCTTATGCACGCATACATACGGTCTCATATTCAGTCTTCTAACAGATCAGGGGCCTATGCTAAGACTGTCTTACACATTCTTTCATTTACCTCACTCTGTTAATGCTTGACATCTAGGCAGAAATTTTCAGCGCCATTAATTTGTTTAGAAATACATTAAGATAGCCTGAAATTAAAAATAATTTTTAACCAACATCACCATGCTTGTTCTTCACTTGCTCCTATTGCCCCCATCACACAAAAAGTAGCCAGTGAATGCTTGGGAACAAATATTCGATGCTGATCACCATAGCGTTGATCTAGTGCAGGTGTCAGAGAACTGTGGCTCTGAAATAAAATTGAAAAATGAAAATAGAACTATAAAAAATAATAATTTGTAATACATGTTTAAAATGTAATACTGTTAAAAGTTTAAATGAAGAATTGAAACTCAAGTGAGAATTACAGTGGTCTGAATTCTATATAATAAAGCAGTTATCATCTTAGAATTTTCCATAATTTAGAATGAAGATTCAACAGAATGTGCTTGACAGTCACTGAAATATCAGAATGTATATCAGGCACCAAACAGAATGACTTACTTTTTTAACATTCAGCATAATATAAAGCATTGAAAATGTGCTTTGAAAGGAAGCTACATAGTTACTGTATTTTGAACAGACTTTTGTAATTTTTTATGCACTTAAAATTGTATATCCATAATTAAAATTAATTTAAATATTTATCTGAGCTCTGAAATTTTGGTCTGTATTTAAAACACAGGTCATGTAAGGATTTTTTTAAATCATTTTATTGGGGACTCGAACAACACTTAGTCCAATCCATACATAAATCCATTGTGTCAAGCACATTTGCACATTTGTTGCCATAGGATTTTAAAATTAATGTGTAAATGAACTTTTATAATCCTAGGCATTTCATTGACTCAATACTTGACTGAGGGCAGGATTCAGGATAATGGAACCTATAGTGACCTTCATGGCCCATGGTCTAATATCCAACCCTTGAGAGTACTAGAACAAATTTGAAAATAAACATGCACATTATGACTGTATGTGGTTTTCTGAAATTTTAGATGATAAGCTTATTGGATTATGAAGTCATGACACTTAACAGTTATGCGTTTAACTATTAACCAGAAAATGGGCAGTTCCAACACATTGGGGGCTTCTGAAAAGTCAGGCCTGGATCTGTTTCTGTCTGAAAGGTTATATTCTTGAAGGCCCTGAGGGCACATGAGTTGGAATGGACTTCATGGCAACTAACAAAAATGCAGAAATAGAACATTGAACTAAAAGAGGTATAGTAATTGGCTGTTAAAGAAAGTTGTAGGTTCTATTAGTCTAAACCATTATATTTGAGTTCATAATCTGAAACAAAATAACATCTTTTGAATGAATGAAATATATATATAAAGTTTTTCAGCCATAAAATTAAAATTCCTTTACTCAGACTGAACAAAAACACAATCTAAGTACATTGAGAGTTTCTGTTTTGCACACAATTTTAATCTTGGTTGTCTGGTATTTAAAGTAAATAGTTAAAAAGGTAAAGGCTAGAGTAATCTCACACCTGGATAGTTGTAGTGACAGCTCTTTTATAATGCTCTACTGACAACAGTAACCCCTCAACACCCTCTATGCTCCCCTGCTAAC